CCAGGATTTCCTTCTTAAAAAACATCTTGATGTATAGGCAGTGATATATATGTTGTATCTTCTCCATCCATTACCTGTGGATGGGCACTCAGCTTGTAGCCACATCATGGCTGCAGTGAACCTGGGAGTGCAGACATCTGTTCACCATCAATTTCATTTCCTTTTGATATATACCCAAAAGTGGAATTGCAAGGTCAAATGCCAGTTCTATTTTTAGTTTCTGAGGAACCTGCCTGCTGTGTTCCCTCCTGGATGTACTGATGTCCACTTCCACCACACTGTGCAAGGGTAACCAATTTCTTAACACTGTAAAATCTCCACTCCCTCTGCCTTTTTTAGTCTTTCTTTCTTTCTTTTTTTAATGGAAAGTCTATTAAAGATTTTATTTCTTTATTTGAGAGAGAGACAGAGTACAAGAGAGCATGGGGAGAGGTGGACGGAGGGAGAGAGGGAAGCAGACTCCCCCAGGATTGGTGGGAAGGTCAGGGGTAAGGGGGTGAGGGAGTCGAGGGGGAGGGCTTGATCCCAGGACCCCGAGATCACGACCTGAGCTGCAGGCAGTTGCATCACCGATGGAGCCAGCCAGCCATGTGCCCTCATTAGTGGTCTTCTGATTAGTGGGTTTGTGGGTACTTAAGACGTTTGCATCTCTATTCCTCTCATCTGCCTTAGAACTTGAGTCCTGGTGATACCACAACGTTCACAGTAGCAATGTCCACAACAGCCAAACTGTGGAAGGAGCCTCGATGTTCATCGACAGATGAATGGATAAAGAAGATGTGGTCTATGTATACAATGGAATATTACTCAGCCATTAGAAAGGACGAATACCCACCATTTACATCAACGTGGATGGAACTGGAGAGTATTATGCTGAGTGAAGTGAGTCAATCAGAGAAGGACGATCATATGGTTTTACTCATATGTGAAAAATAAAAAATAGTGAAAGGGATTATAAGGGAAAGGAGAGGAACTGAGTGGGAAAAATTAGAAAGGGAGACAAACCAAGAGAGACTCCTAACTCTGGAAAACAAACAAAGGGTGAGGAAGGGGAGGTGGGTGGGGGGTTGGGGTAACTGGGTGACGGGCTCTGAGGAGGGCACTTGACAGGATGAGCACTGGGTGTTATATGTTGGCAAATTGAATTGAAGTAAAAACAAATGTAAAATAAAATAAAATAAAATAAACAAAAAGACCTTGAGTCCTGGAGCAGAGAGAAGAGGACACGGGGCTCAGCAGGAGGCCACAGGGCTAAGGAGCGCTGACACAGTGGAGAGGCAGGGAGATGCAGAGGCACAAAGCATGCAGATTTGCAGAAACCCCACTTCGTCCTGTGGGTCCCAGGGCTGCAGCTGTGCCCCCTGCAATAACCTCCTTGATAATGGGTTGGAGACAAAACCTCCTCTGCTTGCTGGTTGACCGGAACTGCATGACCTAAACCCCTAATCACCATTGAATTAAGACAACCCAAACAAACCCAGCAGGCATATTTTTCATCCCTAGAGTTCATCGCATAGAGTTTCCATGTGAAAGATAGTTTGGTGGCCACGAGCAGCTGGTATGTGCCATGCCCTGCAGCAGCCACCCACTGTTCTCACACCCACAGCAACATCTGAACCCATTTTCCTGAATTCCAGGTCCATTTCTCTGAAAAGAAAATGGACCATCTTTGTGGGATGACTCAGGCAACTTCTCTTTTTCGTCTGGTCCTCCCTAATATATTCTCCAGATTTTTCTATAAAGTTCCAACAAAAATTTTGATTTTTTTTTTAGATAGGTCAGGGATAACAGGGTAATGCGTAACAGTGTGGTTAGGAGGTGAAGGCAGCAGGCGATGACTTAGGAGACATGCACTACAGACGTATACCTTTGGTTCCTAAATGTGGCCCAGAGCCTGGGGAGTCCTGGCAGCCTGTAGGGGGATCTGCAAGGTTAAAACTTCTTTCATGGTAGGGGTGCCTGGGTGGCTTAGTGGGTGAAGCGCCTGACTCTCTGTTTGAGCTCAGGTCATGACCTTAGGGTGGTGGGATGGAGCCCTAGGCTTGGGTCTGTGTTCTGTGCAGACTCTGCTTCAGATTCTTTCTCTCCATCCTTCTCACTCTTGTTCTCTCTTAAATAAATACACAAAATCTTAAAAAAATACTTTAAAAAACCCTATTTTCATAATAGTATTTTTCACTCTCAGAAGGGTGCCAGGGAATTTTGGGTCGCTATATGATGTAGGATGTTGCGACACTGGATACAGAGAGAGCTGTGAAACTTCAGCTGTTTTCCCATCCGTCAGACTTTCAGCAGAGACGCAGAATGCAAAACAGTGTTACTCCCCTTATGAGACATTGGTTTGTTTTGGGAAACTTCTTTTTAAGAAAACTGCATTACTTAGGTTCACATGTGTATTATTGTTTTAGAACACATTAATGATTATGTGACATTTTTCTCCTTCCTAATTTATGGCACCAGAAATCCTGATCGACAAGATCCTCACACGAAAGCCCCAGGGGTACGCATTTCTGAGCGTGTAAAGGGGCCTTGTGTCCCAGTCTGCTGAGAACTGCTGCCCCAAGCGAGCCAACCTCTCCAACCTCTCCAACCTCTCCATCCTTCCCACGTCGCGGTTACAGGGAGAGGCTTAGATTGGATCGTTCCCAACCTCCCTGTATTTCTGGGCGCTTGAAGGCGACGTCCCTAGGCCTGCAGGCTTGCAGTGGCCTCCCGGTGTCTGGGTGTCGGTGGGCACGACGAGGAGGTGGGTTGCGGGACGGCGGCCCCCAGCCCCGTGCGCGCTCCGCAGGCTGTGGCTTCCCCGTGCGCGTTATGGTTTGTTGTGGTTGTTGTTGGGCTCCGTTAGGAGGAACCCGGCGGGGGCCAGTGTGTCCCACAGCTGACCTCCATCCAGATCTAGGGGGACGGGGAGCCCAGGAAGGCACCGCCGGGGGTAGGTCGCAGCCTGGAGACGGTGTGAAGTCAGGAGCCCCGCAGGTCCCAGCGCAGGACGCGCTTGGTGCTGCCCCCGCAGTCCTGTACGCCCCCCTGCGGGCAGCTCCCCCGAGACCCAGCACCTTCCTGGGGCATCTCGCTCCTGCCCTGTGTCCCCGCGGCTTCCAGGCCATGAGGGCTCTTTCCTCGGTAAGGCCTCTGCCAGCCCCTCCTCCCTCCTCCAACACCCCTCACCCCCCCATCCCCCGTTTCTCTCTTTGTCTCCGTCTCTCCCTCGGGGTGAGGCTGGGAGGTGCACGCCCCAGACAGCCGGACAGCCTGGAGCCCTACAGGTGGCAGTGGGGAGCATCTGGTCCACCCCTGCTGGACCAGGGGCGCAGAGGGCACCTGACCCAGGCAGCCGCGGCTGGCTTTGCTTAGAGTCCTGGGAGGGAGGGAGGCCTACAGAGACAGAGACAGGGACAGAGACAGAGACAGACGCGAGGGACGGGCTCAGCCTGCTGCCTTTGACCCCCGTGCGAGATGGGGCTGCACTCAGGTTCTGGAAAGGAGAAATGCCCACAATGTGGGCAGGAAAAGTATTGCAACAGCGGTGTCAGGCCACTTCTATTTTTTTTGCCCCCCCCCCCACTTTTTTTTTTGTAATTTGAGGATCCCAGTGCATTAAAAAAAAGGAGAAGAAATGACAAAGCAGGGTTACAAAACTGGGGTGTTTTAACGGGTTACCTGGAATAGGCCCGAATTTACGTTCATTCAAGGTCCTTGGCAGGAATATTTTATCTCTATATGCACAAAAAGAAGACAGCCATGGGGCTCTCTGCTCTGGGCAGAATGTACAGTTCTGTTTCCCAGCACAGTAATCTCACTTTGGAGTCCAGATGAACTGGACACCGTGTTAATGAGGCGCCTGAGCAGCAGTTCTAGGGGGCAAAATCTTTTGATACCTGTTGTAGTGGTAAGGAAGCATTGGCAGGACTGTCATCACGGGGCCTGGCAGTAGGAGGCAGAGCTCCTGCTCAACTCTGGATACAGCAGAGAGGGCTGGGGGGCCAGCCCTGAGAGCAGGGAGGGTGGCCCAGCTGGGCTGAGTGAGCTCCCCAAACCCACCTAACAGGATTCCAGCTGAAGACCCCCAGGGGCTTAGCCTTCCAGGAGGTGCTGAGAAACCTACTCAGATCCAGGGTGACCACAGAGCCAGCCAGGATGACTTAGATTTCTTGCTGGCCAGGCAGCCAGATTTCAGGGTTTCAGGGCTCAAAGGAACCCAAGTGAAGTCTAGTCAAGGTGAGACGCTTTGTCACTGGTCAACATTAACTGAAAGCTGGTGTTTTTGTTTTTGCTTTTAAAAAATCTCCTACCATACTTAGAAACACCTTGCAATGATATATTGTGTTTTGAGCAAAAGATTTGCAGAAATATGAAAAAATAGAATGCTGTATTGTAGGTAATATGGCCTGGAAATAGGCCTGTGCTTAAAATTATGTGTTTATGTGTGTGAAATATATATATGTCTATCCACACTTTTATTTTTATTTTTATTTTTTTAAAGATTTTATTTATTTATTCATGAAAGACACAGAGAGAGGCTGAGACACAGGCAGAGGGAGAAGCAGGCTCCTTGTGGTGAGTCTGATGGGGACCCTGGGATCACGCCCTGAGCTGAAGGCTTAACTTAACCGCTGAGCCAACTGCTGAGCATTAAAAGTGCACTTTTAATTTTACTTTTATGTCTATTACTTTTTCCAGCTTTCTTGAGGTGTAGAACACATATGACAATGTTACGTCATGTAAATTTAAGGAGTACAAATTGTTGCCTGGATACATTTACATGTCACAAAATAGTCACCACCACAGCCTTTGCTAACACCTCCGTCACAGCACAGCATTACCATTTCTTTTCCTGGTGAGAATAGTTAAGATCTACTGTTTTTGCAGCTTTCAAATATGTAATATGGTATTACTGACTATAATCCTTGTGTGCTGTTGGTGGAAACATAAATTGTTCCAATGACTTTGGAAAAAAGAATGGAGGTTTCTCAAAGAATTAAAAATAGTATGACCACGCACTCACTTCAGCAGCGCATACACTAAAACTGGAATAATGTAGAGAAGATTAGCATGGTCCCTGTGCAAAGACGACACACGAATTTGTGAAGCAGTGCATAGTTTTAGAGAAATTCTCACTCCAGTTAATTCATATATTACTGGACATTTACATGTTTCAGGGTTGGGATAAGTCAAACTCCGTTGGTCCATGTGGCCTCATGTCCCAGCACCACATCAAACATCAGGGCTATCTTTTAAGCATGAAAAAAGTAAAATAAAATGACCATATCATCTTGCTATCTCACTTCTGGGTATATATCCATGAAAACATGTTATCGAAGCAATATCTTCACCTCCATGGAGCATTTCACATTAGCCAAGATATGGAAACAACTCAAGTGTCCACCAATGGAGAATGAGTGACCTTTGATCTGGTGTGAGGCTTCTAATCTCCAGCATCACAGAGGTGAAGACACTCCATGCTGCCCTGGGAATAGACAGGCATCCCCATCTGTCCTGGGATTATCCCTGTACATCCTCCCTAGCCCTGAGGACTCCCAGCCCTTTCATGAAGGGTAATCATGGGTGACACGATGATGGGGCCATGGGGGTCCTCCTACCACACACTTCTATCATCCCTCCATCCATCCTGATCCTTTTTCCAAATACAAACTGTGCTGCTTCTTACCAGCACCTGTCCTCAGAGGTGGGACCTGTTTATGTTCTGTGGATTTGAGCCTTTGCGTTCTTCACATGGGACAGAAGAATTTGTCGTCTGAAAAGACAATCCTAGACTAACTGGCAAGCTGGGGAAGTCTAGTTTAGGGCAAGAGTCCCTCCCTAATTCCCCTGCTGTCCAAAGCAGGCCACTTGCCCCAGAGTTCGTTCACCTGACACCAGTTTGTCCAATGCTTGGTCACATTTGCCCTGAAATTGAATAACTCAGACTTAGCTTTCACATATTTTAGGATAGTTTCAGCACTTTTTGTGATTTTGTCTAATCGATGTCATTTCCTATTTGCAATTTATCATTAAAAAAAACATATTCAATACATTACCTGCTTTATTCTCAGGTTACTAATAAAGAAACACACTTTTCAATACTTAATATGTGGCTCACTTTATGTTCCTATTTGACCCTTCTCCTTGGGGTTTTGCTCTTCTTAAATGGGCATTAATCAGTGTTTGGGTTTACCTATTAGGATGAATTGTAGGACTGCCTAGGGCTTGCCTGCAGGAGGCCACATTCTTTTTCAACTAGTGCTTGTTTACACCTGGGTTCAGATCCTGGAAAGGGCTCAGATTTTCCTGCTTTCTGTTACTGTTCTCTAGTGTCAGTGCATTATTGTAAGAGAATTTTCCGTGTGATTTAAATTCTTTTACATTTACTGAGTTTTTTTTTTTAATTGTCCAGAGCAAGGTCTACTTTGATAAATATCCCAATGTTCCAAGAATCCTTGAAAAAAATGTGCTATTTTCGGGTGGAGTGTTGTATATATATCAATTCAATCTAAATGGTTAATTTTGGTGTTCAGTTCTTTTATGACCTTGCTGAATTGCTGTTTATTCTATTGACTCTTGAGAGTCAAAGTCCCAATTGCAATTGTACATCTGTATATTTCTTTTTTTTTCTTCTTTCAGTTCTATCAGTTTTTGCATTTTCTTGTTTGGAGGGTTTTTTTAAGTATTAATTTTTGTATGCTCTATCTTTTTTTTTTTCCTATTTTAGCTTTTCAATCTACCTCTCATTGTATTTGGAACTACTTTGTTGTAGACAGCCGTGGAATTGGAGTATGACAGGGTGGTAGGTGGGGTGGCCCCACTGGAACCTAGGGGTGTCTGTGTCTTGTAGTGCTATTTGAATGGATATTGCCTTCCCAAATTTCCATTTTTCGGTCACTCTCTTCCTGGTGCTTTGACGAAGGGCAAGAGACTTTTCTTGCAACTTTTTTTTTTTTTTTTTTTTGGTCTGCTGTTGGTGGTTCTGAGTTGCAGATGTGGGGAAATCTTTTTCTTCTACCTTTTAAAGTTCTCGTTGGGGGCTCCTGTAACAAAAGACGGATTAACAAGAGAAAATATTACAGGTTTATTTAATATGAGTTTTATATGGCCTGGAAACCTTTACGAGGAAATTGAGGTCTGAGGAAGAAGTTACATCTGAACATTTTTATAAGAGGTTTGATGCAGAGTGGGAAGTCATGGAAAGATGTGAGAGGATAACAAAAGGGTATAAGCTTGGGTAACGTTAAAGATAAGACTGACAGTTATTTCTCTAGCAAAAATAGGTTCGTTCAGGAGTAGCAGAGAATTGCACTTGGTACAAATGAGCTACAGCAAAAGCACAGCTACGTCTGCCAGAGCAGAGAAGCCCTCATTCACAGGGGAAAGGGGAGGTTGTGCATTGGATTAACTGGCACTTTGAAGCACAGTGGCTTGTTTTTGGCTGAGCTGAGACAGTCTCTGGTTGGCTGGGCCCCTGTTGGGGAAGGAGGGAAGTGATTGTTCCTCCTGTTGGGCTGCACAGCACAGGAATATCCACCCCACTGAACCTTGTGACTCTGTTTTTCTCATGTTTCCCTTTATTAATGTTCACAGCCGAGGGCAAGACATTGGGTAAAACTCCACAAGGGCCAGTTCATCAATTCTTCCCTATGTGCCTTTTCTCCTCCAAGATGAGAATGCTCCTCTTCTCTGGGGACAGTGAATGCACCTGTCCCATGAGGGTTTTATGACTTGCTTTAGGGAAAGGTCAGAAAGTCCTTTGTGCACCTGCTGTTTCTTAATTCCATCAGCTGACTTATACATTTATGCTAAGATGCCACATTTTGGTGCAGGGTGTCCTGAACTCCAACAGAAGATTCTTTAATGCTCTATCCAGGATAGAAGGAAGGCAGTGAAGAAACCCAGGGCCCTCACTGTCCTGTACTCATGATATCTCAGGGTGGTCCACCTTCTGTAGAACTTTCAGAGACTTCCTATGCTTTTTTTTTATTAGGATTCTTTATTGTATAAAGGAAGACTTGGGATGGAGTTACTTTATCTTGGTTGAACCACAGGACCCACTTCAGGTTTAAAAATAACCTGTTTATTACAGTATAAGCCACTTCATTCTTTTTAGCAGCTGTGCAGCATTCCATAGTATGTATCAGATTTTATTTAAATTGTAGAATAGCTTTTTATTGAAAATAAACTCTGTAACTTCCAGTGGGACTTCTATCACTCACTTTCTTTTAGGAACACCAACAGGTCCCAAAGCAATCTATACATTCACTGTAATCCCTACCAAAATACCACCATTTTTTACAGAGCTAAATAATCCTAAAATTTGTATGGAAGCAGAAAAGACCCTGAATAGCCAAAGGAATCTTGAAAAAGAAAAGCGAGGTGCCTGGTGGCTCAGCAGTTGAGTGTCTTCAACTCAGAGCATGATCCCCCCTCTGGGGATCGAGTCCCACATTGGGCTCCCGGTGCGGAGCCTGTGTCTCCTTCTACCTGTGTCTCTGTCTCTCTTTGCATCTCTTATGAATAAATAAATAAAATCTTTTAAAAAAGAAAAAAAGAAAAGAAAAGCTGGACTTCACAATCCTGTACTTCAAGTTGTACTTCAAAGCTGTGATCATCAAGACAGTATGGTCCTGGCACAAAAACAGACACATCGCTCTGCGGAGCCGCTCGAGCCCCTCCGAGCTGCTCCAGGCCGCGCAGCCTCCTCCGCAGGGAGCCTCGAAAGATGAATGGATAAAGAAGATGTGGTCTATGTATACAATGGAATATTACTCAGCCATTAGAAACGACAAATACCCACCATTTGCTTTGACGTGGATGGAACTGGAGGGTATTATGCTGAGTGAAGTAAGTCAGTCGGAGAAGGACAAACAGTGCATGTTCTCATTCATTTGGGGAATATGAATAATAGTGAAAGGGAATATAAGGGAAGGGAGAAGAAATGTGTGGGAAATATCAGAAAGGGAGACAGAACATAAAGACTCCTAACTCTGGGAAATGAACTAGGGGTGGTGGAAGGGGAGGAGGGCAGTGGGTGGGGGTGACTGGGTGACGGGCACTGAGGGGGACACGTGACAGGATGAGCACTGGGTGTTATTCTGTATGTTGGTAAATTGAACACCAATAAAAATTAATTTATTAAAAAAATTCCAAAAAAAAAAAACCACCAGACACATCGATTAATAGAACAGAATAGAGAACCCAGAAATGGTCAACTCATCTTCAACAAAGCAGGAAAGAATATCTGCTGGAGAAAAGACTCTTCAATAAATGGTGTTGAGAAAATTGGACAGCCACATGCAGAAGAATGAAACTGGACTGTTCTCTTATACCATATACAAAAATAAGTTAAAAATGGATGACAGACTTAAATGTGGGACAGGAATCCATCAAATCCTAGAAGAGAACACAGGTAGTAACTACTTTGATCTTGGTTGTAGCAACTTCTTGCAAGATACATCTATGAAGGCAAGGGAAACAAAAGCAAAAATGAACTATTGGGACTTAAGATAAAAAGCTTCTGAAGAGCAAAGGAAGCAGTCAACAAAATTAAAAGACAACCTACAGAATGGGAGAAGATATTTGCAAATTACATATCAGATAAAGGGCTAGTATCCAAGATCTATAAAGAACTTATGAAACTCAACACCCAAAAACCAAATAATCCAGTTAAGAAATGGGCAGAAGACATGAACAGACATTTCTGCAAAGAAGACATATACACCGACAACATGCACATGAGAAAATACTCTGCATCACTTGCCATCAGGGAAATACAAATCAAAACCACAAAGAGGTACCACCTCACACCAGTGAGAATGGGGAAAATTAACAAGGCAGGAAACCACAAACGTTGGAGAGGATGTGGAGAAAGGGGAACCCTCCTGCACTGTTGGTGGGGATGTGAACTGGTGCAGCCACTCTGGAAAACTGTGAGGAGGTTCCTCAAAGAGTTAAAAATAGAGCTACCCTATGGCCCAGCAATTGCACTAGTAGGTATTTATCCTTAATACAGAATCTAAAGGGCACATGCACCCCGATGTTCATAGCAACATTATCAACAACAGCCAAACTATGGAGAAAACCCATCTATCCTTTGACAGATGAATGGATAAAGAA